GGTACACAACTGTGCAAAGTTTTCTGAGCATGGAAAGAGCTAGCTAGACCAGAGAAGTTGAGAAGGCTGAAGGGAAAGTCAGTTTGTACTGACTTTTTTTTTTTTTTTTTTTTGCTTCTCTGTCATTATATAAAAGCTGTGAAAGCAGCCTTTAAGAAGAATTGTATCTACTCTGCTGTAAGGACCTTTGCTTTCTAAGCAATGTTTAGTGACAGCAGGGATGGGAAGCTTAATGTAGAGCCTAATAGTTTTTGTAGGTAATTTAAAGATCATATAATTGAAATTACTGATTCCAAACAGATTAGGAAGGTACCAAAACCAAGGTGAAAATGTACATAAATATCAGTAGTGGACATTGGTATCTGAAAAGGTAAGAAATGTTATATTACCAAAAAAAGGACATTAAAGGGAAAATTTAACCAGGTTTACCTTGTAGCATTTGTAACATTTAAATATACTATTCTAAAAATAATCTGCACTCTCTGAAGCTTGAAAATTTCAGAATCTAGTTTTCTTTTAATGTGTCCTTTTTGTGAGACAGTGCTGGCTCGTGTATTGCAATATCACTTCCTCATTGTGATTTTTAATAACTGAATAATCATGTTTGCTGCTTTTGTGCCTTTTCTAAAAAATGGCATTCAGTCATGACAACAGTAAGCGTTTTGGAGCCAGGAAAACAAGAATTTGCAGAAGGAATTTTCCTTTATTTTTTTAACATATCAGAAAGCTGCCAACATAAAGATGGTGCTTCTTAAATGAAGATGGCATTTGCCAGTTTCAGTGATGCCAGTAAAAATGCATTAATTTAACTAAGATTAGGCTTGAACTGTTTCCTTTTTTCCACCCTGAGAATTTGTCTACGGACTTAAGCCTCCCCAAAAAAGATCTGCTACACCGTCTGCTAGACGATCCCCCTCTCCTGGGAAGTAAATTAGATGGTTAAATTAGATGGACAGTAAATTAGATGGTTATTTACATAGGTTTTTTGAGCTAGAAGTAATTGAGAAGCTAAATCAGACTTTTTCCAAAAGATGAGCTAATATTTGTCCCCTCTTGGGGTAAGATAGTAAACCAAGCTGCATTAAATAACATAGTACCTCTGTACACAATGCCTGTAAAACCCTTTTTGATAACCCATCTTGTGATAATGAACAAACCCTTGTTCTAGCATTTGAGAGTGCATGGAATTGCATGCTTAAACCATTGGAGGAGGGTTGCAGAGCCAAGATCCCTGCTCACAACTTCTATTATCTTACAAAGATACCAGCATTTTAGAATCATTAATTATTCTTAATTGTTGAATACAATTACTAGAATAAGCCAATGAAAACAATACTGTTTCAGGGTAGCCTTGCTTTTCTGTAAATGATGTACTCTCAAAAAATAAGGATCAAGGTTCACAGTGATTATGCATATTTCCAAAGGACTCATCTACAATTAATTTTATTATTCTTTTTGTTGCATGTGTTAAGTAACAAAAGTTAAGCTACTTCTGTAGTATGGTTTTAATGGTGTAACTAAGAGTCCTGTTTGAGACTGAAAGTTTCAGTCATGTTAGAGCAAGTTGGTTGTTTATAATTTGGGTGATAAAAATATCCATGCAAGGACTTTTAAAAGTATGGCTCTAATAACTGCAAAGTTCAATCGACACAGACTTTTTTCTTGATGGCTTAAATACAGTCTTAAAATCTTAATGTGACTTGCAATTTTATTTGTAGCTAATCAGTATAACAACAGGGAAAGTTACTTTTTTTTAGCTAGTGCCTTTTTAATGGTATGCCTTAATTTTGTTCATATTTGAAAACCACATTGAAATATGTCATGCAATTCCATGTCACCAAAACAGTCATAGAGTGTGGGATTTTTCCAAGTGCCCAAACTAGAATTCTCCTAACTGCATGGAGAATTGTCTGCTGCAGACATTTCAATGGAGAATTCTAAGAAGTCATTATGAAAGCACTTCCTGAAAGCTTCTTGAATTAATACAGGGTTTGTATTTGTGTTTGAGAGCCTGCATGCTGAGGCACATGGCAGAAACATTACTTTTCTGCATTCACAGAAAAACTGTTAAGAGTCAAGGTTTAGCTTCCCAGCTCTGGATTCTGGGTTTGCTGCAGAGAGTGCAGCCAGGCTCTGAAGGGACTTGAAATTGCTTTTGGTACAGTTGTGAATCTGGAACTGCTATTAAAAGCTGTTTACTTTTGGCACACAGAAATATGATGTGTCTAAGGAAATCAACAGATTTCTTAGTGTAGCTAGCATTGTGCCCATGAAATTCTTTCCTGTGCCTTTTGGATAATCCTAGTCCTGCTGTTGTCTTGACTGAAAGCCTTGTAGCACGTGTAGGTACAGCGCAGTACAGCAAGCCATTTTTTGGGACAACATAGAGCAATGTCTTAACTGCAGCTTCAGAGACCTGAGCAAAATGGTCAGATCTACAGTTATTTATAATCAATTTCTTACTTTTTAATCTTGGAAGTCTTTATCATGCGTATAGAAAAGCATAATGTGTGTGCTTGAATGTAAGTCCCTATGGTGTTCCTGGAAAAGCAGAAGTATTAATGCCAGAATCATTTCTTTCTGCTGGTAACTTGCTGTCTTGTGTTAATGACAAGTCTGCAGTGTAAAAATCACTTAAAATTACCAAAGCTTTTCTATCCCCATGTATGTACAGCCAAAAGTGAGGTTTCATGGATTAGTACTGTTACTTTTATATCCGTCAGTAAGCTATTGCTAACTGAGTAAAGCAGGTACTAGTAAAAAGTGATAAACACTGCCCATATTTAAGAGATTTGGGTGTTCATAGTTGCTGTTCTGATGTGCAAAATCCATGCCAGCTTTAAAATTAAGAGTTTGCTTTTTAAAACTCTTTTTAACTTAATCTTATTCTTGTAATTCTAAAATTAATGCATCAGCTTGTGACTAAACCTGGTGCCTTTTACAGCCAGGTTTGAGCTTTGGGACATTTAAGGAACACTATGAAGATAAGTAGATTTGTGACTGAACTGCTCAGTGTGCCATAGTCAGAACATTTCACAGCTGCTGGGAAGCAGTCTGCGTGATGTGACAGCAGATGTCACCTGCAGTTACCTGGGGAGTTGATGCTGCTTTTGGGAGGACCCACAAATGCACACCAGAGGGGGGGGTCAGACAGAATTGCTACGAGCCTGGGGGTTTCCGAATCAAAATCCTTGTTCAGAAACAAAGGAGCTCCTTTATCTTTTTATTTCCCCCACTTGGCCTGCACTGTTTATTTTTCTTTATAGTTAGCATAATTTTAAATACAGCATAGGTGTATGATGTCAGCCACTGACAGCTCCTGAATTAGGGGCAAGTTCATGTACAGCTTTACCCCAAGGCCTCATCACTTAGACCCAGGACACTGCAGGTTCCCGTGGCCGGCGGCGATGAGCAAGCAGGGCTGCCCCAAGGTCCCTGCCCAGCTCCCCCTCCTGCCAGGGCTGGGGATCCCCCTTGCCTGCTGGCACCGAGCCCCTCGGGCACCCACCTGCACCCCTGGGCCTTGCAAACTCCAACTAGGGCTTTCTCTAGCAATATACATAGGTAGGTGTTTGAGGGGTAGGTGGGATGGAGGAAATGGAATTTCTCCTGTTTCAAAGCACCAGCCCTCGCAGTTACACTTTGGCTACGTCTCGTTTTTCATAAATTTACTTTAAAGGGAGAGGAACTGGATTAAAACACAAAAAATAATATACCTTATGGTTCAGCCCTTGCATTGAGTCCACCAATGAGGACTGGAGGTCAGGGCCTCCTGTCAAGAGAGAAGGAAAAGGATACTTGGCTCCAGAGTGGATATTTGAGGGACATATTTCAGAGGTTTTTCCATGTCTTTTACCCCAGAACTAGACCATCCTTTTCCCCAGAGGTTATACCATGTGGATTTAAACCCATGGATTGTGTTTTCTTTTCTGAACAGGCATTAGTTTGTCAGTTCCCTAGGGTTTGTTTCTCATTGATACCAGGATAAAAGGTGGTGTCATCTTAAATTGGAAGGGTTTATTAACACAGTGTCTGTCATCTCAGACCTTGCAGGAGTCGTATAATGGAATATCACTGTAAATAGATGGAAGAGGGTTAGATGAATTGGAGCGTAGACTTTTCGTTTTCATGAAGCTATGAATAAAAATTTGTAAATTTCCTCTTGATCTAATGTACATTTTTATGTAGCCATTAAATTCTCTATTTAATCTATCGGTTTCTCACTGTAAATGTTTTTACTCTCAGTTGAATGCTGGGCACAGTTTGTAATGTATGTACACAAAGGTGTTTTTTTCTATCAATGTTGACTTTTTTGCACATTTTTGGAAATATTTAATTTGTACACTGATTTAATACTCTGACCAATTGTTGATGGGTGTATGAGAATCACGTGTGTGTGCAATGTACTACTGTCTGGATGTATGGGTTTTTTATTACTTTTGAGATGTTGCTACCAGTAACTGCACTGCTGTTGCTGCTTTACATGGAATATCTTGTGTATAAAAAAAAAAAAAAAAAAAGATAAAAACGATTTAAAAGTTAGCCTATGGTTATCTTGGTTGAGGAACTCAGGAGTTGAGCATTGCTTACTAGTTCCCTTGGTATAACAACCTTCCAAACTTAAAAAAAAAAAACAACCACCTCAAAACAAAACAAAATCCCTTGTAATTCTGTGTATACATTGAATGTGTGTGTATGTATATATATCCCAGTAATCTTATTCCACAATTTCATTTCTACATTTTTATGAACTTGTTTTTTAAGGGTACTATGTTTAGTTAGAATGATTAAATATATAAAAGCTTTGAGAGATGATTTACTAGATAAATATATTTTCAGCTGGCTGATGTTCAAAATATTTTTTTAATTTTTGTTCTTAACCATTCGAAATGTATTTGTATTTCCAAAATCAGACACGAATTGTACTTAGAAATATATTAAAACACTCCGTAGGGGACGACAGTGTCATTTCTCTTTTCAGAACTTTGTCTTTCGGAACAATGCGGAATGTCAGTCTCCTACCTGAGCTCTCCGTGGGCTTTCTTGAAGTTTAAACGCGCTTTGCCGCAAACTGTTTTTTTAATTATGGTTATTTTTTGAAGTATCGGCCGCTTCCTGCCCGCCCGCGCCTGTCCCAGCGGCGGGGGCGGGCGGGGGAACAGAGACTCGATGCCCGGCTCTTCCCGTCGTGGCGGAAGTGACGCGCGGGCGGGCGCGGCGCGGCGGCCATGGGCAGGAGGGAG